AACCGATGGGCCATGGTCACGTGACCCCCACCCACAAATAAACGACGCTTACGCATGAACATGTGGCCAGCAAAAGTGCTCTATTATCAGTATTGTCAGGTTGCTTCCGACTCAGTCACGCGACCATGTGTGGCCATCAAAGGTGCGCTATTTCTTATGTGGTCACGTGGTGGACGGGACCCCACTGACTATGGTCACGTGACCTCAGTGACGATGGACAGGTGATCCCTTATGATCATGATCACGTGTTCGTGCGACGACCGAAGGTGCGATATCTTATGTGGTTGCAACCACCACCCCCTCGACAGACCGACCGACGTGAAAACTGAGAAAGGTTTTTTTAACTTTATGATGTGTGAGGGCAGACATTAACATAAGCTCACGACGTTTTTGTTAGAGTATTTGAAGGCCTTGAGGAACACAGGCTCTAATCATTGTAGTGAGGTCCTGCTATATGATCAAATTTTAACGACTGTGTCTGTTTAAAGCAGTTAACGGAATAGGACCAAAGAATTGCATACTTCAGGAATATATCGCATATTTACTCGAATTAGTTTTTATACTAGACCTCGGCGTTTGGACAAAATCAAAGATTCGGGAGTTCCGCTCGTTTCAGCTGAATTTACTGTGGAGTTATAAAGTCGTTCCTAAATCCTCCCATTTCCTCTTCTTATTAGCAGGAACCAATCTCGCTCGGTGGCCGCTGTGTCAGCGGAGTAGTACTCACACATTAGAATAAGAACGGCGTTGCATTGCACTTTCGGAACTACCTTTCTGATAGGAGTATCAGAAAGTTACGCTGGAATTATGCGGAAGTGAAAAAGGCAATATCATTCATGTTGACAGAACAACATTTGTATTTTTCCACACGTACGTGTTTTTGATTATATACAACGCACATGCGCAGCAGCCTGTTTCTTGAAATGTGAATAATCTTCACAATCTCGGTGCAGCAGACCTCACTACTGCTCTTATGTCATGCTCCAAAAACGTGCTGGCGTGTGCAAATTTCTGATAAGTACTAAGAACTCCTGATATGGTCATAACGCCGTACTGAGCTGAATTGTGGGAGCTTGTCACGTGGGCCTGAAAGCTCCTATATAAACGCATGCACCCCGAGATGGTTCCTTTGTTGAACTTGCACGTTGCCTGTTCGTCGATCACTACTCGCAACAGCCATCCACCTCTTCATGTCCTACTTCGCGGTGGAGAGAGTTATCGCCAAAACGGTGAGTAAGGTTTCATGTTATTTTGTACTAGTGTATAATAGGACAGGACAAATTCTAATTTCTTTTTATATGCTATATTATAATGTACCGCAGATGTTGGTTTTAGCTTTTAAGGCCAGCTTTCGATTAATGCTCATATCCACCTATTTCCAGCTAGTAATTTCAACGTCGTTGAAATTTTAGTTTCATCGCATAGCCATGCTCTGTCTTTTGTGTTCGTAAAAACTTGGATGACGCTTAAGCTTCACCTTTAAGAGTGGAACGCGATAGCGTTATCGGGCCCCGTTCGCATCGCCTTCTCATTCGCTTCTCATGCTCTTGAGTCACGCAACAACATAGTGCTCATGACACAACAGTCCTCGTTCCCAAGCCGTGCAAGCGTGCGTTGCGTGGCCTAGTCAGTACCCTGCCTGGCTCGCCACCGGAACGGTCGTAGGTTTGAATCCCGCCCGGAATTCTTCAATTTTTTTCTTTAAGGCGAATGAAGGACTTTATAAAATGAAATTATTTGAGACACGCGGCGACCTTTAATTCGCATTGCATCTCATGTTTTAATCACTTTCATTCCACGCGTGACGTCACGTTTCACGTGAGCTTTGTGGGTTGTTTAAAATTCCCGTGCGAGGTCATGTGCTGTGACGTCATACCCTATCGAACAATCCTGGATTTTCCCGTCACGCCACCGACGCCGGCTTTCTGCGACACGAGCTCGTTAACGCTCTCGCATTAAAAGCCCGTATTTCGCGTGCGTGTTCACCGTGGTTCGGCTCTTTGTAACAGTGAAGAGGGTAACACAAATAAATGGAGCACAAATAAAACGACCTTGTACCTCGCCGGAAATCAAACACGGAACAGGCATTCAAGGGCGGCCCAACTTTAATGGTACCACGTTCACTGGAAGATGAAGTGAAAAATATGTCAGAAGTCTTAGAAGCATATCAGATAAAAAAAAAAAGATGTTCCTGATAATTTTGTTAGCCAGCTCCTGCGCTCTATCTCCGCAAGAAAAGATTGATTTTATCGACACGTGACGTGACCAACAATGACGCTTGCGTCGTTGTTGGTCACATTGCGAATATTTGTGGCATTTGCTGTCTCTGTCTTTGTTCAGTCAAGTTCCGTTGTTTGTTCAGCGCTTGCCCTATTTGCCTCTCTTCAGCTTTATTTCTTTTATGCGATGTAATTTTTACAAATATGCACAACCAACTCGCCTGCATCGCTTCTTTAATTCTAGGGCAGTTTCAATGCCGGTCGCACAACCACTTTGTAATTGTCACTCTTAGTTACGTCATCGCGTGATCTGGTTACATGATCGCATGACCTACAGAAAATCATTGCCATAAACGCCTAGGCAGAAGTGTAGAGGTCTCTGGCGGCACCAGAAGACCAGGAAACCAAGCAATAGGCTCTCTACGACAAACAAATAGTTAAATTGAGTCAATAGCGATTTCATGGGGAAAGAGTAAATATACCGTGGTACTGTTCTAAAGTCGGTAAACGCAGAATGCGTTGAGTGTCTTAGCCTTTCATGGAAATTCCAGAAAAACAAAAGCCAAGCAAGTATGAAATCCCCAAAAGTAAAACAACTCAGAAAGCCACAGAAATCCGACGGGAGAAACAGGCTGACAAACACAAAGCGTTCTGCATCTATCGACTGTATACGTAGTATTAAGGACCATATAAATTTCAATCTTCTCCACGAGTGCACAAGGAAAACACCAACCATATGGCTTTATTCAGTGTTTGGGTAAAGCCAAATGTAGGAACAGAGTGTCAATAAAATATCACGAAAAGCCAACGTTTATTATACAATGCAATTCTGCATTTAACAGTTCGATCGACAGAATAAATTGGAGCCTCAGGATTTTATTCAAGGTCACTTTTTGTTACATTAGGTGCTGTGATTATAACGAACTTTCCACTGACTTGCCCACATGAATCCAGTTTTATATATTATCTCATTAGACTGCAGAGAGTGTTAACGTTCGGCGTCCGGGTGATTGTACACTTTTATAATCAAGGTTGCACTTTATTTTTCAGAGAAAGGGGTACCTCCTCAAGTGGACAGGATACTCCAAGTGGAACTGCACCTTTGAACCACGTCGAAACCTGACTGCTCGCTGCTTGGCAAGCTTCGAGACGCCGTCGAGACCCACAGATGCTCGCCTCGAAGCAGCACGGGACAGTTTGGTCCTCGCCATTCGCCAGAATCTGAGCAACACGAAGACATCCAGTGGTCTGGTTAAGGTTCCTTTTGAACTCGACGTATTTCGCTGGGTGTTTGCTAGCAAGGGTGAAAGCCTTGGGAAGGGCTGGTCTCTTCATAGTCCCGAGTCTGACTTTGAACGGCTTAATTTGCCGGATGGATGGAAGGAAGTGTTCCGTAAGTCGGGTGAAGGTGCTCAGATTGCTCTACCTATAAGGATGAAGCCAGTATTGCGTTTTTCACATAAACTTCAAGGAAGTGACGGCGAGGTTCTCTCGTACCCCCATGAAAAAGTGCATATTTACATTTCCACGCAGGCGCGAACTCGAAAGAGTCTTGATGTATGAACGGCTTAACATATTTCCTCGTGAAGAGAGCCAGTTATGGACATACTTTGAGAGAGTGTAGCGGTCACATTTGTGGGGGCGAGCGTATTGCTTAAGTGCAAACTTGAGGCAGTTGTTAGAGCATTAACCTGCGAGCCCAATCTCGGGATTAGTTCTATAATCCAAAGCTATGTAAGAGTCACCAACGAAGGACAAATCAATGAGAAATTTCTCTCACAGTACCGAAGAACACTATCCACGGTCCCAAGTTAAAGGGCAGAAAAAGGTATAGTTTTCTTTCAAGGGACACGACATTTCAAGTCGACCTTTCCGAATTAGTTGGTGGAGCATTCTTTGCAAGCTCTGAAGAGCTAGGTAGTGGCAGCCAAGGCAGCAGCACTCCCCATCACGACAGGTTCGAGCAAATTTCAACCATTCATCTGGACAATGAAACGGAGAGTACGACTCAAGTCGGTGGGAGTTCTCCGCCTGTTCAGACCTGTCTTGCTCTAAGCGACCTTGAACGGAAAAACGTGGAACTACGTAGCACAGTTTCCAGTTTGGAAAGCGAGGTGGCCCAGCTAGAGGAAGCGCTGAGAAAACAAGACCAAAATACTGTTAATTTTGGTAACTATACACACAGTGGCGCTCTTATTGGCCAAGGCAGCCGTAGGAATGACTACCGGCTTCTTTAAAAACTTTCGTCACAGCTTTACGACCAGCCAGAAGCCTTGGTTTTACAGTACGGAGTACACCTGAGCTCTGTGCTTGTTCAAGACAACCATGAACAGTTGCATGAACTGAATTACGAGGACGACAGCGTTACAAAAAATGTGCGTAGAAGTCTACCAGATTCCTCGTTCTTCGAGATGACCAACGCAGAGAAAAAGCGTATTGAGGATTTAGTGTATGTTCTAGATGAACACACAGTAAGCAACACTGCGTGGAATGAACTGAAACGAGTTCTTCCTAGTCTTCCTACATTAAAAACAATCTCCGAGTGCAGAGACTATCTGGACGAAGAGTTTCAACTTTCCCGGACACCTGGAACTGCACCTGGGGCCCAAGTGTCCTTCAAGCGGGAGCATTGTCGGAACATTAAGTCCGCTGCCGAGAAGTCCCATGCCAACTTAGAAGAATTCTGTAGATCTAATCCTTCAATTATCGTTAAAATCGAAGGGGACGGATGCAACGTGACAAGAAAGGGCACGTGGACCATGCTGAGCTTTTCAACACCAGATGGCGATGACAGGCACAGCCCAAAGAATCACTGCCTTCTTGGTATTATTCAGACAAAAGAAAACTACTTCGCCCTTCGAGAAGGATTTGGAGAAATTATCAAAGAGTCAATGATGTGTCCGCGCAGAGAGGTATTCTTGTAGACGACAAATTCGTGTCCGTGGATCGCTGCTTCGGTGCGGATCTGAAGTTTATTTTGCTTCTCCAAGGCATGCAGTCGGCGGCTTCAACCCATCCGTGTCCAATCTGCAAGGCCAGTAAGGAAGAACGCTCAAATCGCAGCATCCCATCAGGCTTTTTTAATTCATCTGCGATGACTCGTACCCAAGATGGAATGAAAAAAGACTGCGACAATATCGCAAACTCTGTTCGTTATCCGCCGCTGCTCATGATAGAACCCTCCCGTGTGGTACCTGACATCATGCACATGGGATTGAGAATAGTTGATAGGCTTGTTGAGAACCTCATTCTTGAAATGCAAGACTAAGATTCTTCAATAGAAGTATGCAACACATCAGCGAAAGAGGACCATGTGGCTAAGCTTATTGCGATTATCCACGATTGTGGCGTCAGTATCCATCTTTTTTCTTCAAATGATTTGAAACATCAGGGGAGGAGCTTCAGTTCGCTGACAGGAACTGACGTTGACGTACTGCTAGAAAAGCTGCCTGGTCGTCTTCGAGATGTCCTTCATCACGACACAGCCGAAGATGTTGTTTTGCTCTGGAACATCTTAAGAGAAGTACTTAATGTTTACAAGAATGATACATCCGGCTCTGACGTCTCGGCGCGAACAAAACTTTTTCTCTACGTTTTCGTGCGGCTGGGCGCAAACCGCAAAGCATATGGTCGAGACCGTGTGACTCCCTACATTCACATATTTTGTGCGCACTCGGCGCAAAAGCATGTACAACTGCACTGCCTGGGCCATTATTCCAGTCAGGGGCTTGAGAAGAAGAACGACACGCTGAAAAAACTGCACCACACTAAAACTAACAAGTGGGACGCCGCATGGGACGTCTTAAAAATAGTGAAGCGGGGAGAATTGCAGACTCAAAGGCCGCCAGTAAGAAACTACACAAAACGATCTCGCGAGTACTGGTCTCTGGGCGGTATTCAAGAAAGTCGAAAGAAAAGACCACGTAGGAGCGTTGTTCCGCGAAATGACAATCCTAGTGGGACTTTGAATCTAGATGCGATGCGCCCCGGTGAAATTAGAACAGAGTTGGCACATCGTGGTATAAATACATCAACCAGGGACTTCCAGAAATTAAAACAAATGCTCAGGAACTCTGAGCGCTGATCAACCGCTATCTGTGATGCGGTTTTGTGACTGGAATGAGTAGTCTGTTGCCAAAATAACCTACGCGACTATTATTCCTACGTTCAGAAAACAAAGCCGGGCAATCCTCTTGTAGCGTAGGAACTCGCTTGTTGCAGAGATCTTAATTGTGTTTGCTATTTTTATCTTGCGTTCATAGTCTTCTGATTTCTACGAGCGGTCATAAGTTCTCGTGGGTATCTTTGTTTCTAGTTCATCACTCGTTTCGTGACGTGTAATGCAAGTGCTGATCAGTGAGAGTGTATCATCCTTTTCTTATTTTTAACACACGGACGGCCTTCTCACGATGCTGGGACTGTGCGTGGCACTGAAACTGATGCGTGATATTGTAGATAACAGTGTGTATATATATGACGCGACAAGCTAGATTTGAAACGCGGGTGACTGGCTTTTTTTTTATGAGTTTATGAAAAACGTGCTAACTTTTATTTTGACTTCACTTGTCGCAATCTATATGTTTCTGTTGCGTCAGTGGGTTGTACAAACTTTAATAGCACGTGACGACAAAAAATTCGAGCCTGTGTTCCTTTGCAGCAGACAGAGCAGTCTGTTTCTTTTTTTTTCTATTGTAGTAGAACACACCTGAACGCTATACCTGAATGCGTTATACATGTACGCGTCTTGATAAGCTTCGTAGCATGGAACTTTTTTGTGATACTGCTATTTTTCCTTGTTCTGCAGTACGTCAGAGAGCTTCTCGTACGGTTCGAGCTTTTAGCCTTGATCAAAAATATTGCGTAAGCTTTGTTCACTCTACTGCTTTGTTGTTTTCTTCTGTCCTCGTATGATGTACTCATTGGGTACTATGCCCTTTTTCACCGTAAAATTAACGGATCGGACCCTAGGAACCATCCAGCCATTCCAGCGCTGAGAGTACACCGTAGCTCAGTGTCCCCACCAGAAGCTCCCTTGATAATCACTTAATTCTGGATGGGCTGAGATGGTCCGCAGCGTCCACTGCTGTTCATTTGGGGTGCAAGGAAGCATAGAACACTTAGGCTAACTGATGACTCGGGTGTGTTGAAAGCATTTTGGTTGTGAGCCTGGGTACGTGAGGTATATCGGACCCTGTATCCCCTTTTTTTCAATCGCTAGTAATAGACCGATCGCACCAGCCAGTTTGACTACGCCACCGCTGCTGCAATGCATCGAGGGAACGTTAGTCTTTCTGCACGTGCGACAACCCCGCTGGAGCTTTGCGCGAGGGAAGCACGAGACGGCACGTGCACTCGCAGGCACGGCCGTCTGCCTTCTGTGAACTAAAGTTATGGTGGCGTCACGCATACGCCGAACGCTTAGTGAAATCGGTCTATTGTGTCAATATAATACCCCTAATTGAATGTAACCATTTATTTATTTTGTACGCAAATGTGATTTTACGGTGTTTCTATGAAGCATAATAAATACTGTTTGGCACTCTTTCGTATTGATTTTTTATCCTTCCGCCTCGATGCCTGTAGAGCAGAAGTCATGATGCTGCGGCTGGCAAGCTGCATGCGGCTCGTCACAAACGAAAATTCGCCTCACGTGATCTAGAGACGCCCACATTAAAATGGTTGGGACCAAGCATTGAGCTTACTCATGAAAACATTACAGCGAGGAACAGGAAAAAAAAACTGGGCGTATAAAAATACCGTAGTTTTCGTTGTCGATAAGCATTTCAGAATGCAATTGTCAGACGGGGGCAAATAAGGTGGAAATGTAACCTGGAATTTTATAATTTCACTTTGTGTAGGAACCTTGCCCAAACTTGGTGTGAGAGATACGTAATGCAAAACAGCTGCCTATAATCAAATATCGAGCTCTATGTTTTACGCACCTATACAGTTGAAAAACTAGTAAGTCGCATCTAGTGGAATGTATAATCTAGATTCTCTGCTTGACGAAAGCGTTTGCTTGAAATAAAATGAAACTAGGCACCGGTTACATTATAAAAGCTTCGCAGTGTGAAACCATAGCTCCTATATTTAGTCAAGCTATAAGTTATAAGGGGAGCCTAATGACAAACGTTGAAAGCATGTGGAGAGGACGATGTTCTCCCAATACCACCCCCTCCCTTCCCTTCTTGCGGCTTCCTAAAATATAACAATTTTACTTGCGCCATCGGTTTGGCCACGCCCGCTCTATAGGCTCAACATTCACCGCAACGCCTACAACAGGTACCAAGTCCTCTGGATCTCTTGATTGTCTTTACAATTTTATTTTAAACTTTTAAAATGAAAATGCATTTTCACGGAGCCCCTGCAGTAAAACTCCTGCGCAGGCATAGTACCCGACGAACGTAACATTGCTGGAATATTACCTATATTTAAATAAGGCGACGGTCACTGTATCGACAATTACAGATACAGACAATCACACTCACGCTTCTGCTGCCACCGACGCTCTAGACGGGCACGCTGTTGTTCTTCGTCGGTCAGAGAGCAGCTACTCGATTTCCCGACCCGTCGGCCGCTGCGCGTTCGGCGGCTTCTCGTCGCTTTCGCGCCCATTCGCGCTTTTGCTCTCGTTGTCGCTCTTTGAGGGCACCTTCTTCTTCTTCAGAGTGAACTACGCACGTCTTGCTCATAGCAAGTTCAAAGTGCAACTGCTGATAACGTCGCTAGGGCGATGACTACTGGTGAATATTAGAAGACCACAGCGCAGCACGAGCACGAGCGACCGCGCTGCTAACAATGGGTCTGTATATTCGTATGGGAAGAAATTCTCGATCTACACGCTCTGTCCGCGCACGCAAAAAATTTCAGAACCTAGCCATATACAGCTTCGCTGTAAAACATTTAACAAAATGATCATGCTAAGAGGCAAGTACAAAATCGTTCAAATGGTGACGGTACATTGAAATTGGTGCTGAGATGTCAAGATAGGGAGGAGCAAAGGCATTATATAATGACTGAATCCGAGAGAGAGGTGAGGTATGACATAGCGAGCGAACGTCAAAACAAACGAAGTGTCTGGTTACTCGAAAAGGCAATCTCGAGTCCTCGGCCACATATTTGTGCGAACTTCTCCCCGCCATTTAAATATTAATACCCCAAGGCCAACTGTAGGTAATAAATAAACAAAAATAATAATGCCCCAAGGGCGAACTGTAGGTAATAAATAAACAAAAATGAACGATAAACAAGTGTATTTCATGCATTTCCTGACTTTCTCACGGAAAGCGTAACCACAACTTTATTTATTCTTGAGCGCTGAAAACGTCTGCCGCGGAAGAGGTATGTAGCACTAATGTAAAAAGTGATGACATGTGAATAAGCCCAATTGTGACACACAAAAAACAAAGATACAGTTTAGAATATTCCTTCGACGGCAGACAAACGTTTTGTGATAATCGGAATAAACGTACTTTGATAAGTAAGCCCTTGGGAGCAAGAACACAATGTAAGGAATACAATAGCTCAACAACAGAAGAAAAAACTCAGTCTGTTGAGTGCCAGCCTGGTGGAAAGAAACTGTTAACCAGTGCACCGCGCAACTTTTTGCGATCTGATATGGTGTCAATTATTGTCGGAAAGATCGTTTGAGTTCTGGATGGCACGAGGAAGTGCTGAGGTTTTAAAAGGATGGATGCTGAACGAAATATTCGCTGGAAGCTTTCGCTGCTTTGTACGAAAAGAATCCGGTGGTTCTTAAAAAAATAGAAAGAAAGAGAGGCAGAGAGAGAGAGAGAGAGAGACAGACAGAGAGAGGGGGGGGGGGGAGCAACGGTATAAAAAATATCAGGACGGACTTAGCCTTGCCGTTGGAGCTGGCATTGTCCCGCTCGGCAGTGGTTCCAAAAGAGGTGAACTGGACTGACCGAAGTTCTGAAGGAACCGATGAAGTAAGCAAAAGAGCAAGATTAGTCGACGAGTCTGGAGAGGATGAATGAACTTACATTGCCTAAGATCTGACACGCTAATCAATCGAGAATGAGACTATATGAATAGCGCGGTACAGTTTTAGACGGGTTCTGAATGCGTAATTCTGTACGCTTGGTGATATCATTAAGTATTGTAGACTAAGAAAAAGAAGGTGCAAGCTTCCGGAGACTAAATAGACACGGAAGAAACTAAGAAAGAGGAAGGAGAGAGCGCTCGCACTGAAAGGATCGATATGACGGTCGGGTACAGTTCAACAATACCTCCAAAATAAATAATTCATTATTTCCTTCTATTTTAACACAGTTCGCATAATTAAACCGGCTTTTTATTTTTATCGTCACCGCGGAGATCCTTCCTCCATTTACTTAATAAAGGCTTCTAAATATATTAGGCGTATTCCGGTTTCTGGGGCGGACGTGAGTACTATAAGTATGCTTCTGTGTTTTCGGACAATTTCGATAAGATCGAAAAAATACTTCCGGTGAAATATTTTAATATTTATATTTGCCCAAAAAACTCAGATTTTTCAGGACCGCCAACTGCTATGAATCCGACTGGTCTTAATATTTTCCAGGGATCTCCGAACAAGTTTTGCTCTACTTCTCTATATCTAATATTTATTTATTTATTTGAAAAACTGCAGGCCTTTTTCAGGCCCTCGCAGTATCAACTTTCGTTTGTATGATCACAAAGAACTTCCGTTTAGCTTCTATTTTAAAAAAGGGGAATTGTCGAACACGTTTCTCATTGAAAAGGATACTTTTACTAAATTCACAAACTGCTGTTTTCAACCTTTCGTTCACTTCACCGAAAAAGCCAAAAAACTCTGTACGATGAAAGAAAGCTCCAAAGAACTCCGAATTTATGGTAAAAAATAAGCACTGAACAACACTCCACGATTTTAAGCAGAAATAAACTCCGAAAACGCAGAATCCTAATTATAAGCTGGATTTCGTATATGTTGCTGCAGCTTTTAGATTTCGTTATAACTTATAGGTAGGGTTCCGTATTTTTGTGTATTCTTTTTTAAATTTAAGGGTGTCTTTGGGTGTTCATTTTTTCAAAGTTCTCTGTTTTCGGTATCTATTTCTGGTG